CCAACTAACAAATGAGAACAAAACAAGCAATATATATCTATCTATCTATCTATCTATCTATCTATCTATCTTTATTCTGTCTAGTTGATGGAAGAATTATCATAAATATATTTACTTATTGATTATTATTATTATTGGCTTTTGTCATACTGCTGTAGCAATGCTCCACTCAAGGCTGTGCATTACAGTGTTTTGTAATGGTTCACTTTGTGCACACCTCTTACCTGTGGGCTAAAATGGCTTTATTTTATGTGCTAGAACAATATGAGAAGTGCAAAGATGTTTAAAAAGGCTGATTAGAGCATTTTTACACTCACCGTTAACACTGACCCGAGTGGTACACACTTGGATGACCTTCTTTAGGCTTTCCACATACTTCATGACCCCAGTTAAAAAAACTCTACGGTCCTCTGAGTATGCAGTGATCAACATGGATGGGTAAAGCTGTTAAAAAAAAGGAAAAGAAACAGTTGACTGCTGAATGATAAGACCCACACTGCACACAACCAATCAAAAGTTTGGGTTGCAGGGTTCTACAGCATTCGCGACTGAAAACTACTGCGTGCGACTATGAAAAAATATTTAGGAGCACCAGTGCGACTGACCCGATCATCATCATATTTGTGATTGCGATCAGGGGGTCTTCAAAGGTTTCTATGTGTTTTTGCAGCGTTGAGTTATGTATCACAGACATATCTCACCGTTGATTTTAATGCGAGATCGCGATGAACTAAGATGACTGACAGCTTTTAATGATTTTTAAGGGAGTTTGTAAATTAATTCATTACATTTATATAGCGCTTTTCTAGGCACTCAAAACACTAAGGCTAAATGTGATAGCCTACTGATTTAATACAACAGTTCAATAAACAAGAAGTTAATATTAAGTGACTTACATTGTCTGCGCATTTCCATTCAAACACAGCGGTGTTTCATTTAAGAATGAACTGCGTTTTTAAATGAATCTAGTGAGTCAGTGATTCATGATTACCGATTCATAAAGACAGTCACTTGCTTCGTTCCTGAATGAATCAGCCGTTCAAACGAATCAATGAATGATTCAGTGATAAAATCAGTGACTTGCCGCCACCTGCTGGCAGTTTTAGTTTCATTTTTAAAGTATCTTTCAGTTATTTAAATCATTTAATATTTCTATACTCAACATGAATTTATGGATTTAATTGCACTCATGCCACCTCTGAGCCTCGTTAAATGTCTGAAAATACACCTACAAGCCACTTTTGTGTTCTTCAGTGCCACCTCTGTACAAATTAATTTTGTTAATACTGATTTCATTTGATTGGTAACTTATTCTTCTTATTATACTTGTTCTTATTCTGTCATTTTTAAAAAGCTTATAAAATATATATATATTTTTTTAATTTGACATAAAAGATAACATACTTTTAATAAAATGCCATTACAAAGGTAAAAACAAATTTCCACTGTAAATCACTTTAAGGAGTCAAATATCACCTTGTAATGGGAAGGCACATTTTTTATCAAATTTTGGATTATTGATTAGAAGGTGCTCCTAAATTTTTGACTGTGCTCCTAAAAAGAAAAGTAAGCGTAGAGCCCTGGGTTGGCACGGTTTTTTAATGGTTTTGAAAATCTCTTATGCTCACCAAGACTGCATTTATTTGATTAAAAATACAGTATGAACTGTATATTTGTAAAATATTATTACAATTTAAAATGGCTGTTTTCTATTTGAATATATTTTAAAACGTAATTTACTCCTGTGATGGCAAATCTGAATTTTCAGCAGTCATTACTCCAGTTTTCAGTATCACATGATCCTTCAGAAATCATTATAATATAATATGCTCATTATAATATGCTGATTTGCTGCTCAAGAAACTTTTATTAGTATTATCAACGTTGAAAACAGTTGTGCTGCTTAATATTGAAACCGTGATGCATTTTTGCTTTCAGTATGTTGAACAGAAAATTAACAGCATTTATTTGAAACAGAAATCTTTTGTAACATTATAAATGCCTTTACTGTCACTTTTGATCAATTTAACACATCCTTGCTAAAAGTATTAATTTCGTTGAAAAAAAAAAATCATATTGACTCCAAACATTTGAATGGTAGTGGAAGTGACATCTAAGTGATTTACCTGAGGTATAATATTGTGACAGGGACAATAAGAGGCAATGTGTTCTCTTATAAGGGGGTCTCCACACTCCCCTCTCTCCTCTACAGTAAGCGGCAAGGAAGGGTCTTGCATTGTGCCAAGAACATCCAGAAAAGGTGCCTGCCGAGAATTACAATTTCATATAACTATGAAAATAAGGCTAAGGGAATGTGTAAGATTATGTATTAAAGATCCACCTGTAGAGTTACAGCTTTAAGAAGCTTGTGGGTTATGGTTGCACAGCACCCCCGCTAGGACAGCTCCAGCACTGCGAGCAGTGAGGGCGGTAAGAGCAGGATGAGACACTTCCAAGTGATGAAGAGTAAATGCAGGCAGCAAGATCTTCCACTCCCCTCCGCTTCTGTAGCACAGAACCCGCTTGACGCCACGCTAGACCACGCTCACTACCACCCCTGCCCCGTTACAAACAACACAAAGCACACAATAAAGATGCTTTGCCAACTGCTTATGTTGATATTAATACTCAAGGACTACAAATCCCAAGTATTTCAACATTCACTACTGTTCTCAATTTTGGGTCAGAAAGATATTTTAAAATAAATTAATGCTTTTATTCGGCAAAGATGCATTAAATTGATCAAAAGTAACAGAAAAGACATATATAATGTTACAAAAATTACTCTATTTCAAATAAATGTTATTCTTTTGAACTTTCTATTAATCAAATAATCCTGAAATCACGTTTCCACAAAAATATTAAGCAGCATATTAATAATAATAATAATAATAATAAGCACCAAATTAGCATATTAGAATGATTACTGAAGGATCACTGAAGACTGGAGTAATGACGCTGAAAATTCAGCTTTGCCTTCACAGGAATAAATTACATTTTAAATTATATTAAAACAGCAGTTCTTTTAAATTGTAATATTTCATAATATTTGTGTTTTTACTGTATTATTGAACAAATAAATGCAGTCTTGATGAGCATAAGAGACTTCTTTTTAAATATTAAAAAAGTCTAACTGATCCCAAACTGTCTAACTGATTCAACGGTAATGCACCTATGAAAAAAGATGATTAGAGTTGTAGTTCAGTACCTGACATGGCAGTAGGCCAGAGCCCAGCCGTCCTCCAGCAGCAGTCTCTTCTCAGGACTGAAGGCCATATTGAGTTCAACACCATAAGCTCCATATACATGCATGAGCAGTGGAGCCTTATGCAGCTCAGATAATGCCTGCATGCGGAGGAGAGTCAAAGGCACCATTGTACCATCCTAAAAACACAGTACCTATTTGTACCACAATACCTTTAAGACTTCTCACATTTAAATGACTCATACCTGACTGGCTGCCTGCAGGCGTGTCGTGTTAAACTCAGTGAGGGAGATGTACTTGGTGTTGTCCTCTGTTACGGAGAGCTTTTGTTCTCTGGAGGAATAGCGGTAGCGTACAGGTGGGTGCACTGGGGAGGACAGGAGGAAAGCAAATGACCCTCTGTCCACAGTTCCAACACGCTGCGGCGATAAATCACAGGCCCAGTGAGGAAGCTAAGAGCAAAACAGAAACATTAATGGAGTCTACAGCCCAAGGTCCTTTTAATATATCAAAGAGATTTACTGAACGTGAAGTTTCAGGTTGATACTTCATGCCATTTTCATGGCGAGAAATGAATAAAAGCAACATCTAAACTTGACAACATGAATAAAATACTTCTAAGAAAAAGACAGCAAAAATAAACTATATCATATAACTAACTAAAAGTGCATGCTTACTTTATAGTAAAGGTTTCAAGGTTCAATGAGATTCTAGGTCTTTCAAAATCTATGCTGTATTTCAAATTAATAACTGTACATGATGCTGTTCCTGGAACTTGAGAAGATGTTGAGATTTATCATTTGTAAAAGTATATAATTTACACACTTTGCACCACTTCAGTTGCTTACCTCTGAATTTTCTGGAACAATTGCAAACTTCCTATGAACCGAATGCAACCGAGTTTCTGTAGTTGGGCTTTAGACAGCTCCACTGTAGTCTGAGAGGATCCCTAAATCATCAAAGTCTGTTTTTATTATTATGTATGCCATTGTGTGTGTGTGGGTGTGTGTATATATATATGTATGTATGTATGTATGTATGTGTGTGTGTGTATATATATATATATAATTAACAATTACATTTTAATTTAATAATTACATCCCTTGTATACAGTCATATATTTCTAACCCTAATTTCTTGATCTTAATTTAAAAATGTTATGCTATTAACTACACATTAATATTGCGGGTGTGTTGGCTATTTCTGCATTTTTAAATATCTTCGAATACATGCTTTAACATCTGCTATGTCATCTGACTTCGTACTGATGCAGTCAGACATGATTTATTCCCAATTTGCATTCGGATTCAGTCTGCTGTTAGTTTTGTCCTTTCCTTGTCTGCATTCGCACTATTGTAAGTAATATATATTTCATTGCAGTTTGTTTTAAATACAAAGGACAACAGTACATGGAACGAAAACATAACCGTGTAGAGTAAGTCGATCCTACCTCAGTGTAAAGACGCGAGATAAATGGGTGCATGTTCCTCCGATGTATATTGCGTGAAAATGATCGCAAAAGCAGCAGACATGAGGAACTGATCAGATTCATTTAATGCAGCAATCTGTCACTGTCTAATTAGTGATTCATTTAGCAATCAGACTGAATCAGTCCGAACGGTTGCAGAATAATCAGGGTATCTTCCGTCCAATCAATTTTTGTTTTAATATTGAAATCTGAAAAATGAAAAACGGGCACATATTTCGTTTTTCAATTATTCAAACAAAACGAAAAATCAAGAGTCCGGATTAATTTTTCGTTTTTACATTCAGGGATAGAAAACGAATAAACAACTTGAATATTCGATCTCTACATGTGGGCGGGAATGAAACGCCCCTCTCTGCTAATTGGTCAACCAAACATTACAACATAATAATAGTCCTAAAAAAACCTTAATAATAGTCCTCCGCTTCTATTGATTCTTAACATGTTTATTTCTACTACATTTTATCCAACCATAGACGTAATAAATGCATTATTCATTTATTATGTCTGTGTATTTAATTAATTTATTATTTATTATGTCTATGGAATCAACAACTCTGACATGAACCGACACCCGACTCTTTTGGACATGTTCAACTGAAAACGAACCAAGAACATATTAGTGAACTGAATTAGTTGAAAAAAAGTATTATTTTTTATTGTTTAATGTGAAGTACAATTGATATTTAGTTCCTAAATTGCTAATTTATGAGCTGAATGGCTGCAACAGTCTCAGCCGGAACACATGAATTTAAAATAAACACCAGAATATGCTCATTAATGTGGCTGTATTTCAAAACTTTTTTTTTATTTTTTATTGCTTGAAGAACATAAATACCAAATAAATAACAGTAAGAAAAATCTTAATACAATTCAAAGAAATCCAAATAGTATGGAGGACGAAACCTGCAAAAACAATAAATAAATAAATAAAATAAATTGGTGGACAAATGGAAAATGTTTAAGGAAATGCTAAACTCCTCCTATTTATTTTCCTTTGATCACTCGTTTATTTCTGAATGTAGTTCCGCATTTATTTTTCCTCTGCACAACATGCTAATGAGAGGGTGTCAACCATGGACTTGCTCGGGTCTTGTGATAGCTGGGGGCGTGGCTTTCCCGCTGACAGGAGATGAATGCATGGTGTTAATCCAGTATAGCCTAGTAAAGTCACTTTTGCCATTCAACAGAGCAAGATACATAGAAAAACTGAGCCGTATTGTCCGTATAGTATCTTTGACTTTACAAACAGGAATGGCCAGAGGTGTCATTCCCCGGCACTCGATATTCGCAAATCTAGGGACCATCTCTAAAGCTACATACGACATTGGTATACACTTTTCTAACTTCAGTAGCATTTGAGGAAAATTACTTACTGTAACACAACCAACTGTGAAGTGGTCATATAGGTCTCGGTTATAATGCACACCTTTTAGAATTTTCCTCAAATGCTCATTGCCCACCAATTTATTTTATTTATTTGGCTACTTTAATCACCCATTTATTTATTTGCATATTTATTTATTGTTTTTGCAGGTTTCGTCCTCCATAAAATAGCAGCATAACAAAAAACACATAGATAAACAAAATAAATATAACAGGAAAAGTAAGAATTACAAGTAATCCTACAATACAAGGGGCTTAATCATCAAAAAATACCTTCAAAAGATTACATAGTTTAAGGGCTTTTTTATGACACATGAGCTTTAAAGTAATAAAATGGGGTAATTGGCCAAAATCACAATATTATTAACCAAAAATTCAACATCACAATTCCGACAAAAGGACAAATATTTTTCAGTTTTAAAATCAAAGTCAGGTATTACATCCTTCAAACTTAACGAAGCATAGAGGTCATCCCATTATTTTTTAGAGAATTTGCATAAATAAAACAAATGTTCCAATGACTCTGTGTCTGCTTCACAAAAGGTGCATCCATTACAGTATTTCAAAACTAATATGCTAGGAAAAAAGCTTTTTGAATCTGTTCTTTGAAACGAACTGTTCAAAAGAACCGATTCGCGGAAATGAGTCGGAATCCCCATCACTAATGGCGCTAAAATATGACATCTGGCCCAGGCAAGAGTAATCGAATCAACAATCATAGATGATAGCCGATAGAGCGGAGTGTTCGACGACTATGGTAATGAACTGGATTTCCTTTCCTCCTGCAACAAGAGGAGGTGGTGTACGGAAGTAGCATGGGGTTTATTACTAAGCAACAGAGACCAGCGCATACCGGCGAATTGGTAAAAACGGTAACGTTAGTAAACTGTACAATCGACTTTAACCACATTCAGAGAACATATGCCAAATAAGCCTTCGCTTAGACTCTGCGTTCCGTTGTCGTTATACTGTGATAAGTTATTTCCCGCGTGAGATAGGATCAGATCGAGCAGGTTGCTCTGTCATGAATACATTTAAAGATCCCCCGTTTGCTGCGACAGAAATGCACGCGAACAATCTCCAAAATCACGACTCTCACTGTGGAACCGATGTGGCCCGTGCACGCTGGGCTCTTCTGCGACAGGTGAGGGGCGTTTAGTGAATCTCCTTCAATATGCAGCTGATTGCGTGTGTTTGGTTCAATACGCGTAAATGTAATGCGTTATATAATGCGTTTTTCACGTTAGACATATGGATTCATGTGTCTCAGTAGTAGCATTTTGTGCATCTCTCACAATACAGGTTCTGAAACATAAGCAGCTCGACAGTTCAGATGTTCAGCAGGTGTCAGTGCGAAGATTCTCCTCCTTTAACCTGTTCTCCAGGAGCAGGGTCACTCCCACAGAGACGGACGAGCCATCGGGCCATCAGTGGGTGGAGTACAGAAGTGCAGTCTTTCCTCAGTACAGTGCCTTACTCAGGTATGCTGGAGAAAGTGTTGAGTACACTGGAGCAGATGAAGCAATTTTAGCTTTAGGACTTTCGTGGACTTGTAGTTTTAAGGCATAGGTCTCACAAAAGCAAATTCTGCCATCTTCTACTCCCTCGTGTTGTTCTAAACCCATATGATATATATATTTTTTTTCTGTCAAACACAAAAGGTACATTTTCGAAGTATGCTCACTACTTTTTTTCCATGCAATGAAAGTGAACGGAGACCAGAGTTGTCAAACTCCAAAAAAAAAAAATTAATATAATAAAAAAGCACCATAGAAGAACCATGAAGGTTACCATATTCCAAGTCTAAATGAAATTTAAGTCGGAACTCATGCTAAGTATGAAAATATTTCACATTTCATATATTTCTCTGAAAATATATTCATCCTTTCCTTACATTATGGATTGGACATTCTGCGAATAAGCATTTGTATTTGTTTCAGAATGGGTGAACTATGAAATAATAATAATTTTTTGGTTTAACTGCTTCATTAAGTCTTTTGCTTATGTCAGTATAATTATTAAATGCATTAATTTGATCACATTTCATTTAGCTAACACTAATGTTTTGTAATTATCGCATTATATATTTACAACTCTAACATTTTTATTAATGCATTTCAGAGACGATCTTGGTCCAATTAGAGTGAATGAGGTGCTCAGCAGCTTTGACAACACAGGAAATGTCTGTGAGTGACTCTTCTATGCATGTTCATGTATTCATATGACAGTTTTTTTTTGTGTGAAACTGATCACATAGAGGTAATCATGTTCTTTTAATGCAGTCTGACTACTTTCTGATTATGAATGAACTATATTTCACTGTAATCTTAAACAGAACATATCCTATGGCAGGCAGCAGGGGGTCAGATCAAGCTGCAGCTCCATCATGCACCAGAGGCAGGCACACTTGAGCCTTAGAAGTACCTAATTATAAGCAACTTATTGACTCCTCCTGTCTGTGCCAGGAGTGTTAAAGTACCTTTTCTTTCCCAGCACACGTCTGAACAACAATACAATTAAATAAGCAATGTACATATCAGGGAAAATTACAGCAAATATTTAAGTTGGCCAAATTGAAACCTTATAAGTGAATATAGGTGACTGAACAAAGTTGCACAATCAACTAGTTGCAGAAACAATTAACTGATTCCATTGTTTCCCATGAATTGTAATTCCTGTTTACTGTAAATATATTTATGCCATCTCTGTGTATTAAATGGTCAGCGAAATGCACATTTTCATGCTATACGCTACTGTTCAAAAGTTTGGGGTCAGTACGTTTTTTTTTGTTAAAAAAAATATTTTTAATACCGTACTTTTATTCAGCATGGATGCATTCAACTTAATAAAAGTGACAGTAAAGACATTTCTAATGTTACAAATAAATGCTGTTCTTTTGAACTTTCTATTAATCAAATATGACATGATTAAATAAATGCAGCCTTGGTAAACATAAGGAAAAAAACAATAACCTTTTACAGACCCCAAACTTTATGCAGTGTATATACAAGTTTAGATGTTCTACACAGCAGTATATTGTGTAGCTGACTCTGATAAATTTGCTGTGCAAAGACAAAACACAATAACTTCTATTTTGTCCAAACAGAATTATGATTGAAATCCAGTCTCTTAGGCTGTGATCTATACTGTAACTGACTGGTTTTGCTCAGCTGTGCTCAGATTCAGAGAAAATTAGTGGTAAAATGTATATGAAACCTTTTCCTTAAATTAAGCAATTATAGTTACTGTGCTTTGCCTTTGAAGTGCAGTACTGAAGTGACCGTTCACTTAGAAATGTAAATTCTGTTATCATTTATTTACCCTCATCTTATTCCAAACCTGTATGACTTTCGTTATTCTGTTGAGCACGAAAGCAGTTTTCAGCAGATACCCCAGTGGCTCAGATGTTTTTAGTTGACATTTATCTGAAACTTTTTTTTTGTCAGATGTCCAGGATAGTGTGGTCCTATACTGATTTCCAGTGGCTTGTGGACTGATATGCCTTGAAATATTTGTCTCTTTTACTGGATTAGCGAAAAGGGGCAGCATGGCTCTCTTCTACGGCAGGGTCATCGCTTCTCTTTTCAGACCTTCCTCTCAACCACCCTTAATGGATCTTACGCACTGGTAAGCCCAAACATCTCCCCCTATGTCCTTGTCAGCTCAGCTGGGCAGGCGCATTGTCTGCAAAGGGGGGTGCCCCATGTATTACCCACCCTACATACCCATTTTAAAGTCCTCGTCTCAGGATTTGACAAGCCGAAAGGTCTCTATGTCCTCTGAGGCACTGAATGTGGATTAGCTATCCAAATGTATGGATTACGATGATCCAACTTGTCAGGGTTGGAAGGGTTGGCGGTGCTGTGGGTTTAAGTGCTGTTGTTTCCAGCAGGGATCAAGAGGAACACAAAAGGTCTTATCTGAACATGCTGGGTGGACATGAAGAGCTTTAGAGAGGCTTGTTGACCACTGGTTTGGATTCAAACATCAGCTCTTCCACTGTCATGTGCTTGGGTCAGAGTTGGTTTAAAAACTAAAGAGAAAATATAGTTGTTGCATACGTAGTCATTTTAGAAGAGCTCTTTGCAGCCAGATAATGTAGTTACAACATCTACCAGCACGTGCTAACGAGACAATAGGTGCTTTCACACAGTCTTTTCCAGAAAATGACTTGTAAATTGCTATTTAGAGATCATGTGTGAACAAAGCATGAGATTACCAGTATAAGCATGTAAGAAATCTGCTTTGGAACAGTGATTAAGTTTGTGATTTTACAGTGAACTCTGGTGCTTTTTAATTGTTTTTTGAAAGCATTAGAAAATGTTATAGATGGCTATGCATCATTGGTCATTGCTCAAAAAGTGCAATGACCAAAAATGTTGTCAAAAAATGTTGTCAAATTGCACAGATAGTGAAAATAAAGTGCTTCTCCTTTACCGTTTACTGGTATTTTGGTGCTGATGAGTGAATGTAACAATAAAATAAAAATACTGTTACTTGTATTAACTGCATATGTGTTATATATATATATATATACTGGAAAAATAAATATATAATTATAAAAGAATAATTTTCCAAGTTTAATGTTTGAAAGCGGCCTGTACTATCCAGCCAAACCTTTGCCGCTTAACTCCAACTCTTTTGCAAGGCTGGATTCCAATGGTTGACTAGTCATCAAACAATCAACTGGTTGATTAGTGAGGTCAGCTAGTTAACACTCTCATAAAAGTTGTATCTTTAAATTTATGCTCTTTAAAGCACCGATAAAATAAAAATACTGTTACTTGTATTAACTGCATATGTGTTATATATATATACTGGAAAAATAAATATATAATTATAAAAGAATAATTTTCCAAGTTTAATGTTTGAAAGCGGCCTGTACTATCCAGCCAAACCTTTGCCGCTTAACTCCAACTCTTTTGCAAGGCTGGATTCCAATGGTTGACTAGTCATCAAACAATCAACTGGTTGATTAGTGAGGTCAGCTAGTTAACACTCTCATAAAAGTTGTATCTTTAAATTTATGCTCTTTAAAGCACCATCGCTGCAGTCATACAGTACATCTTTGTCCGATACATCACGTCTTGTACTGTATTTTAATAGCGTTCAACAATACTAAACAAACAAAACATGGGGTAGCATATTTCATGTTTTTTTCACAAAATACTACCACAAAATACAAACCTCGGTGGGTATTGGTAGGATACTATTAGCCAGTCTAGTCAGGGTCTTTATCCTGCATCCTGAGTTAAAACATTCTTTAGAGGGGTCACATGATGGGGTGGAGGAACTGATCCCCATTAAAAGCACGACATTCAGGCTTACTAACAGGCAGCGCTCAGTCTCAGCAGGATTTCCTCAGAATCCATGCAGTTATCACGAATCCATGTGTGATGTGACTTTTTCATAGCTTAGTAAGTGTTCTTAGTGTGTGTGTATTTTTATTTGAATCATGACTTTGTTTGTGTGTGTTCAGTGGTCTCCACTCACATGCCCATCTGTTTTACCCCCTGCTTGGGCAATTATGTAGATTGGGGGACCCGGTGTACTAATTGTTCAGATTGAGGCTGTCCAACGAGGCCTGGTTAGACCTGCAGAGGTCAGAGGTCTGGCTCTCCATCTCTGCCTTATTCTCCTCTCCTGTGTCGGTGAGAGTTAATTAACGCTGCTCTCAGACTGTTTACAGGATGGCTCGCTGCCCAGACTCAAGCCTTCATTACTGCAGACCTGCCTGTTGAACGTGTGCAAGTAGGGTCCAAAATTAACACTCATGAAGTGCAGAGTTCCAGTCAGAATTGTCTTTGGCGAGTAAATAAAACAGTTTCTCGCCAGTTGGCTGTAAACTTTATTAGGAACTGCCTCGTTATTGTAAGCAGCATCATGAGCAATTGAAATCATTCAGATTGAATGTGTATATATATATAGATATATACCCACCATTTCACTTTGTCACTTTCCACAGGACCTTGTTTTCATAGTATTATAGTACCGTATTATTTATTCTCATAATTTGGATTAAAATATTACATCTTTAGGAATTTAGGAAAACTGTAGGATTTTAATCTCAAGCAAGGTCTATTGAGATTCGGTTTTCCTATTTCAATTATGCTATATTATAATATTATAATTCAATATTTTAGTTATATCGTCATGTGACACTAAAATGTTTTTTCAGTTTATTCAAAGTTAGTTTTGAACCCTGTCTGTAAGAGCTCTGTGTTAAAGTTTACAAAAGCTCATCATACACAGTGAAAGTGTCTTCAATCAGTGCCACTGGTGAAAAGGCCAAGAACTGCTTTCATAATAAAGCCACCTACAGGAAATTTTGCCTGTGTTTGAGTGACCCAGAACTGACCAGGACTCTGTGCTGAATGATAAATGACTGACCCAGATTAATGTTATGTGAAGCATTATGTGAAGCCTTATTATAAAACATAACGTTCTTTTTCTGACTATGTGCAAGATGGCATTATAAAAGGATTTGCTGCTCTATATAAGCACGAGTATAAAAGCAAATGTTCTTAATCACGGCTACAGGGGTCAGCAGTGGGGTGAGCTGTATCAGAGCTAAGAGACGTGATAAAGGGAACCCTGAAAGAAAGAAATTACAGTACTAGACTTTGCAGGGATATTGTGCGGGGTCTAATGCCACAGTAATTACCAACATACCTTAGCAGCCAGGTAACACTTTTTTTCTTTTGTTGCAAAGGTCCCTTCTAGTCTGGAATTAGAAGGGAGGGGGGGTGAATGAAGAAAGTAATAACACCCTAGAAATACACTCTCCAGACTTGATTATTAGACTTTTTCTCCATCATTTTTCAAGTTTTAACAATCAACTGGTTGATTAGTGAGGTCAGCTAGTTAACACTCTCATAAAAGTTGTATCTTTAAATTTATGCTCTTTAAAGCACCATCGCTGCAGTCATACAGTACATCTTTGTCCGATACATCACGTCTTGTACTGTATTTTAATAGCGTTCAACAATACTAAACAAACAAAACATGGGGTAGCATATTTCATGTTTTTTTCACAAAATACTACCACAAAATACAAACCTCGGTGGGTATTGGTAGGATACTATTAGCCAGTCTAGTCAGGGTCTTTATCCTGCATCCTGAGTTAAAACATTCTTTAGAGGGGTCACATGATGGGGTGGAGGAACTGATCCCCATTAAAAGCACG